GATTTCATCGACAGTGTTGAAATTCTCGCTAGAAACATGCTTCTCAGTAAGATCAAGATATAAAAAACATATAGACAGAAAATTTAAATTATGAAAACCATTGAGAATTAACAGGTTTCCTAGATTTCATCGACAGTGTTGAAATTCTCGCTAGAAACATGCTTCTCAGTAAGATCAAGATATAAAAAACATATAGACAGAAAATTTAAATTATGAAAACCATTGAGAATTAAATAAGTTTCCCTAGATTTTGAGGATAGTGTTGAAAATCGAGCTAGAAACACACTTCTTAATAAGATACATATAAAATAAATACAAAGTGAACACTGCACACTTTTAACGAGAAGGTTTAAATTATGAAAACCACTGAGAATTAAATGTTTTCCTGGATTTTGTTGACAGTGTTGAAGTTCAAGCTAAAAACACACTTCTTAATGATAAAGATAATAAAAAATATATAAACAAAACTGGAAATTTTGCCTGGACAGCGGTGCTATGGCCTACTCTTATATTGAATTCCAACTACCAAGGGATCTTTTACGTGCACACCAATTTGTAAACAGGACCTTGGTTTTCCGTTCCATCTGAACAACTATACATTGTCCCTTACCAGGCCCTTGGTAGATGGAATTAGATATAAGAGTAGGCTGTAGTACTGTTGTGAGGGCAAAATTCCCTCATAGCACACTGCATGGCATATGCCCGTCTTCATTAGCCCAGTAAGAGCAGAAACAGTAGGACGTTAAACCACATTTCATTTCATTTTGTTTCTAATTTTTCATGACTTAATTCCATTTCTATTAAAGGCTCAATACCACTCTTGTTGTAACTGAATAATATGTCCCAATCTTTATTTTGGTCAACAAATTGTACTATTTTACAATATTCCAATTAATTGATGATACAAATTTCATCTTAACACACCTAATTTTAAAAAATTGGAAAAATTCAACTAAATGATTTGAAAAGCCTGACGTAAAGCTTTTCAAATGTGACTTGGATTTTAAAATATTTTTTAACCCTCTGGACAAGTAAAATAGGATTTAATGGATAATTTACAAAACAGGTAAGACACTAACACATCTAGTACTTAGAATAAGGCTATTTTTTATTTTCTGGAGCTGTCAAGCCAGCAAGAGTGTTATTGTCCCTTTAAGTTGTACTCAAATTTTAAGAAGATAAAAACTCCAAATATCAAAAGTAAATAATCCCCCAGCATGGATTAAAAGGAAGCCCATCATACATCAAAAGATATTTCCAAACACTTAAAAAGATTAATGCTAGCATGTTTATGATTTGCAGTGGATGTTGAACATTTTGAGATTTTCATTTCTTTATACTTTTGTAAATAGTGAATGATTTTTCGCCCGATTGTACTTTTAGAGATTCAGCTATCACAATATTGCAGTTAGCAAAGGTTTCAAAATCTTACATATAATCAGCAGCTTTGAGAAGCATACCTTCTTTTGGTTTGAAGTCCATCGGGATTTTCCAACGTGGTTACTCTTGTCACTGGTGCAGGACGGAGGTCCTGACAAGGACGGCTGTATAGTTGTTTGATAGGTATGAAAAACCGAGGTCCCGTGTATACATTGGCATGCATGTAAAAGATCCCTTTGCAGTTGGAATTTGATATAAGAGTAGGCCATAGTGCTGCTGCCTGGGCTAAATTTTTCCCTCATAGCACACTGTATATAATATGCCCGTCTTCATCAGCCCAGTAGGTGCAGAACAGTAGGACGTTAAACCTTCATTTCATTTATTTCATTTAGTTCGTTTAGTTTCTACTGCCTTTGGGGGGGTTGGATGGCCGAATGGTTAGCGTGCGCGCGCTGTATCATAAAGTCTGTCATTGAGTCGACTGGCGTGGTTTTGAATCCCCGGTTGTATATGACAAGGAGTAGGGTCGCCTGTCCAACCTCGTGGGTTTTCTCCGGGTCCTCAGGTTTCCTCCCACTGCTAAAGACCCCTACGCGCAAGCGAATTATTGAAATAAAATTAAACCATATGTTGGTCCTGAAGTGACCTAGTTTGTGTCGAATGGACGTTAAACCCCATTTCTCTCTCTCTCTTTCTACTGCCTTTGCTGTTATTTAATCGATTAATGCATGATTTTACTCTGATCATAAATTTTTGTATCGCAATCCCCCACAAAATTTACTGGTTAAACAACACTTATAATGTTCTTTAAATGGCATTTAGTAACTGGATAGAGTAACAACAAAACACATACTTATGGAAAACAGCTACTAATGTATTTAAGGCGACGTTTCATAGAGTATTCTCTCAACGTTATCAAGCTTGATAACGTTGAGAGAATACTCTACGAAACGTCGCCTTAAATACACTAGTAGCTGTTTTCCATAAGTATGTGTTTTGTTGTAACACTTATAATACTTCTCTTCCTTATTACCATGTTCAGATATACAAGAAGTGATATGAGGTGTTCAAGGAAGAATAAGCAGAAACGACCATGTTTGTGACTAATTAGGGGGGTTGGATGGCCCAATGGTTAGCAAGTGCGCACTCTATCATGTCTGTCATTGAGTCAACTGGCGTGGTTTCGATTCCCCGGTTGTACGTGGGAAGGAGTAGGGTCGTCTGTCCAACCTAGTGGGTTTCCTCCGGGTCCTCCAGTTTTCGATCACTGCTAAAGACCCCTACCTGCAAGCGAATTATTCAAATAAAATTGAACCATATGTTAGTCCCAAAATGACCTAGTTTGTGTCGAGTGGACGCTAAACCCCATCTCTCTCTCTCTCTCCCTCTGCATAATATATTATGTCTGTTGTCATTAGTTAAACCCCTTTTCATATCATCTCATTTTCATTTCCAAATCAGGAGACAAATCATTGTCTCTTATTCATGTGTACTGATGAACAATACTAACCCTTGTGACAAGATATGATTATATACACATAGTAAAGACTGTAATATCTTTGATTTATTTCCCTCTTGAGTCTCCAAATGATGAATATAGAGCTATCATCAATAATGATAAATTACCAATACACATTAATTTAATCATTTCTATACCCTTGAATTAATAAACCGAAAACAGTTGTCGGACAATCTTTTTCTTGTTTGTGCCAGACAGCTGCAAACAGAACACGATGTTGGTCCCTGAGAGTCACTTATTGCAGATCTATTTATTAGAGTTCTCTTGGAAGATATTATGCTCATAACACACAATAATTTCCCTGTAGACCTCCATATCAGAAGAGCAAGATCATGTAATACAACTCATAGAGTGGTGGTGTAAATCGTTATCTTATGGGGGGATCAGTAATCCAACTATCGACAAACTCAGACTAATTTTATCGTAGATAAACCCTTTAGATCATGTTATGAAATCTGCACCGGAAAGTATATCTTGGTAGAAATAATTTTCGTAATTTAATATAGATTCTGTTCCAGAATAATACTTGCAAATCTGTATGGCTTACTGTAAGTTTACACGGCCAGAAAAGGAGGAGTTAAAATATCATTTACTCTTGGACATGTTATTTATCAAAGTAAAATAAGGTTGGGGTGTCCGAGTTTAGATTTTGTTATTAATTCCATGATGTGGTAAGCTTTTTAAATATGTTATATGTACAGTGTACAAGTTAGTACCAAATTGTTTAATTTGAAATTTCGACTAGCGTGTCTCGGTAATCAGAAATGGGAGGCGACTGGTATGTGTCTCTCTTTTTTTATGGACCAAGGTGAGATTGTAGTCTTTTTACGAAGCTGGACGTAAAAACCTGTCATCCTTTGGACATGCTGATCATCATTAGTGATTTTATTTAGCTGTATGAAAGATGTTCCTGTAGTTTTTAAGACCTGATCCATGAAAGATGTTCCTGTTGTTTTTAAGACCTGATCCATGAAAGATGTTCCTGTCGTTTTTAAGACCTGATCCATGAAAGATGTTCCTGTTGTTTTTAAGACCTGATCCATGAAAAATGTTCCTATAGTGTCAGTCTGATTAAAATACAGATCTATCGGTTGTAGTGGAAGGTCACAACAGGGGTCATACGAGCGGCATTTGACCCTATGACATCAGACATTTGATTAACCAATCTGTGTTGATGTTTCTAGTGGGATACCCACAGTTCTGTGCACCACATGCCAAGAATTCACTGTAACAGACCGTTTGAATATAGAAGATGTTTCTACATTATTCAGACCTGATATTTAAAAAATGTTCCTTTATAGTTTAAGACCTGATGTATGAAAAATGTCTCTGTATAGTTCAAGACCTGATGTATGAAAAATGTTCTTGTTTACAGTAGTTCAAGACCTGATTTGTGAAAAACGATTCTGTATAATTCAAGACCTGATGTATGAAAAATATTTCAGAAAAGTTCAAGACCTGATGTATGAAAAATATTCCTGTATGGTTCAAGACCTGAAATGTGAAAAATGATTCTGTATAGTTTAAGACCTGATGTATGAACAGTGTTCCTACATTGTTTGAGACCTGATCTAGGAAAGATATTCTCAGTAGTGTTAAGATTTGTTTAGTTTTACTTGGGAAAAACAGATTTTATGATTATCTTTATACTAACACCTTAATCCTAGGTTCCCACTGACGTGCGATGCGTTAGGAAAGGATTGTAACTATGGAGTCCACGATCTGGTACGTGCAGATATGTTTGGATACATTTTGATACTTTCAACACGATTGCTACGACTGACCACAATATATGATAAGACCTGATAGGATCACCACGATTATTCCACAATCAAAACCACGATTTCAATCGTAGCGCTAATCGTGATAGTGGGAATCCAGCATTAGCCATCATTCTAAATTAGGATTGTGAAATCAAACTGACATAGTTAGCACTTTTCTGAAACAATGGTTCAATTTGCTCTAAGGTTGTCCTCTTCCCAACAACTTTGCCTTCTAAAACCCCTTTTCATTTCTATAAACCATTTGATGAAAACGTTATCGTTGATAACATCAAAAATATAGATTGCTAAAATGATAAATTGATATGACCTAATACCATAAACACCTGTTTCTACAATGGTCTATCGTGTCTTTTTATATAATTAAATAAAACCTACTTAGTTAGGATTAGACTTGTAGGATGAGGAGAGGAAGTAAGGTAATACAATCTAACAATCTTATTATTCAGCTGACTATAAAAGATGTTTTATGAATAATTCTTGGCTTTTGTAATCAATTTTCATTACTGTCTTCCTCTACTCAATTTCTTCTTATAATAGTGTCTTGATGTACTACTTATACAAAGGTTATGGAGCAATGATAGCAACCAAATCGTTGACCACAATTAGGTCAAGATATGTTTTACGTCCTTTTGATGTGCGTGACAAGGAGTAAGATCACCTGTCCAACCTCGTGGGTTTTCTACGGGTTGTCTACTTTCCTCCCACGTCTAAAGACAAGACGCCTACGCGCAAGCGAATTATTGAAATAAAATTGTTATTTGATGTTAGTCCCGCAATGATATACGTCCGTCCACACTTTGTTTGTGGACAATCTACAGGTCACAATTTTTATCTGATTTTGATGAAAGTTTAAATGTATGTTTCTATCACAAAGATCTTGGTTCCTGTCGATAATCGCGCATATCAGACTGTAACTTGTTGGATTATGGTCCCTGATTGGACGAAAAATCACATTTTTAGCTTGTGGACCATCTAGAGGTCACAATTTTTATCTGATTTTGAGAATCGTTTAAATATATCACTGTTACACCATAATGGTGGTTGGATCAAAACTGCCCGACAATATGGCCTCTCCTTTTTACCAAATAGTGTAAAATTATGTAATACCAAGGTTGTGGACCCTCTAGATGTCACAATTTTTATCTGATTTTGACGATTCTTAAAATATATCCCAAAGATCTAGGTTCCTGTAGACATTCACACATATCAGACCGTAACTTCCTGGATTATGGCCTCTGATTGTACTTCACTTCTTTTTTTAGCTTGTTCTCAGTCCATCTCTTGTAAAATGTGGATGTATCTTGCATGGCAACCGTTTGCATTACAAGATATTTTAAAATTTTACCAAGTTTATTAGATGTAGAACCTGAAAGTTGATGGCCTCACAAGCACTTTGCCCCCTATGGTTGAAAGATAATCCATCTTTCAAGCAAATCGTTTATGTTGTGTTGGAAAACATTCAAAGTATATCAATGTCTATGATATATTGGAAATGTATAAATATAAAACCCACTTATATTAGTCATCACCTGTGAGTGGTTGAGGTAACAATTAGCTACTCACTGTTTCACATGCTACTTAAAAGTGTTTTTCTTTGTTTACAACTACATTTTACATACACAGCTGCAGTCTCTTATGAAATTGACACATGCATATAATCTATGTAATCTTAGTACCCTTCAATCAATATGCTCTAAAAGGCATGTCAGCTCAGCTGGGAAAAAAAAATGAAGGAATTTTTTTACAAAAAAGTGAAAAACAATTTTATAACATGTACCGGAAAATGAAATGAATCAGGCAAATGAAGACAAGCATATGTCATACAAGTGTGCTTTGAAGGAAATTTTTCCGGTTTCCTCCCACTACTAAAGACCCCTACGCACAAGCGAATTATTGAAATAAAATTGGACAGTGTGTTGATCCCGAAATGACCTAGTTTGTGTCAAGTGGACTTAAACTCCATTTCTCTCTCTCTCTCTTTCTCTCTCTCTCTTGAATAAAATTTTGGCTGAACAGTGGTGATTTTTTGTCTACTTTTCAACAAATTCCAAATGTCATGGGTTATTTTCTTATGGCAAACATGCCAGGCCATCCAGGCTAAATCTTTTTCTCAATGTCGTTGAGATGTAAATAAGGTTAGGGCACATGATTGTTAGTGAGATTGTAGGTTAGGGTTAGGGTAAGCATTGGGCTAGGTCCAAGGTTAGGGTTGGGGTTAGTGCTAACCCTGATTACATCTTGTGACCTATGACAAAAAATTCAGCTGTTCTTATCATTTAGCACTAACCAGGCCATCCATATGCATCACTGACAAGGGCACACCAGGATGTAAAATCCTGAGGAACTCTCTCAGGACAGTGATGCAGGACGGAGGGCCTGACAAGGCCAGCTGTCTAGTCATTCGGATGATACAAAAAAATGAGGTCCCGTGTACACATTGGGGTGCACGTAAAAGATCCCTTGACAGTTGGAATTCGATATAAGAGTAGGCCGTAGTGCCGCTGTTCGGGAAAAATTTCATTCATAGCACACTGTATGGCATATGCCCGTCTTGATTAGCCCAGTTCGGAGCAAAACAGTAGGACTTTAAAGCCCAATTCATTTCATTTCATTTCAAACCAGGATGAGCCAGCCAGCACTATAAATAAGGATTACATGTATTAATAAAGAGAATATAGAACCATAGAATTTGACACATACAGCAGAGTGTAAGAAAGAATCAATTCTACTCGTACAAGGGGATCCACGATGACTCAGTAAGAAAGGCACCGGCTTGCTAACCATGGGTTCCTGGAATCAATCTTTACCATTGGGAGGAATCCGGAGGACCCGAAGAAAACCAACCAGGTTGGACAGGCAACCCTACTCCTTGTCACTTACAACCGGGAATTCGAAACCACGTCAGTTGACTCAATGACAGGCCTTATGATACAGCGCGCATGTGCTAACCAGGGTTCTTAATCCATTTTGAAACGAACCGGCCAGAATTGGGTCAAATGAGGTGCCGGTATGAAATGGGTTAATTATAAGCTTCCATTCCCTTTAATATAACCTACGAGACTTCCACAGAAATAATTCTTGGTACATGTAATTTGTTATGGAGATTGTCGTATTCTGATGTATGCGATTACCACAAAAATAATGACAGTAAGGTACACCTTTTGAAAATTTTCCATATTTAATTCACGTACCAGCTTTCAATTTCAAGTCAGTAATACTGAATAAAGTACTATCTTCGTTTATTAGATAAAATGTTTGTGTTTCATGAGTCGATGATCAAAAATTTAGCATTTTCCTACTATTGTCAGTATCAGAAAATACTGCAGCCAAAATAAACTATGGCATTTCTTCATAACACAATTTGTAGTTTTTTACTATCACATAACTAGTCACAGTAGTTTGCAAAAGTTTTCATTCATTCGTCGATGATAGACAAATGGCACAATTGTCACGTCATCCTAAACTTAGGCTGCCTGTCTACAGCTAGCTCCGTAGATGGATCGTTGCATGCAGTAGGTTGTCACATGACAACCATAATTGAAATTGCTTTAAAATAAAATTCTGTACAATTATGATATAGCCTTCAATAAAACCGACAGTATTTTTAGAATTAAGCCTTTGTCAGAATGTGTATATAATAAAAAAAATCCTAACGGTAAGTGCTATTTAAAACTGGTTTATTGACCTAATTCCAAGCGATATGTCACTCGTCATTGGAATTCGGCATTGGACATTCTATCGGAAAAAATATATTATTAATGACTGCTTCTCGGTGTATTCGGTGTTCTATCAGGTGATTATACTCAATGAAGATATAAATTTACCGAACAAATGGTCAGTGAAATTCATCAATGTATGATCCAGTTATTATTTTAATATCTACCTGGAATTCATACGGAGCGTGCGAATTAGACGCTCGATTTTCAAACCATACAGAGATCGTCTTCTTTCGCCACGTGGGCTATTTTTACAAAAGCAGCTTACTGAACTTGTTATGAATAGTCTGCAAGCTTGATTTATCCAAATTACCATTAAATATGCTAATTAGGCTACTCAGATTATGAACCACATGGCCGATTCTCACTAAGGTATGGCTGTTGTTGTAGCCGACAAGCAAGTTGATTGACTTCTTAATTAACATGTAATAATTAACCCGATGTAATTTAGCCGATAGTAGATTGATTTATGATATTATAGTGGCCGGTTCATTGTTTTACCAATCGGCCAGATTAAACATCAATCGACTAAAGCCAACAAAAAACAGCCGATTAAGAACACTGGTGCTAACCATTCGGCCACCCCCCCCCCCTAAAAAAAGATAGGGTGCCGTGTACATGTTGGCATGCACCAAACAGTTGCAATTTGGAATAAGTGTAAATCCTCACTTTCTCTCTCTCCCTTGTGGCTTGTTTCCATTGTGTTGTTAATCTGAGAAACAATCAATTTTGAAACTTGGAGACAAGATATAACAGAATGTGTTGTAATATATTGCTTGTATGTTAATTTTACAGACAGTGATCTATTATTGTGTCATGTATAATAAATACCTTTAAATAACGAGCAATAGACCCTGTTACAATCTATCTGAATATAGAGCATTGAATAAACCATTTTGCTGCAAGATCATACATAGCGAGAGAAGAGAGTCATGTCTAGACCAAGTCATCAGATGGTATAATGTCATTGTAAATTGTAGGTTTCAATGTTGCAGTGCTTCTTGATAATCGTGAATCATCTGTATTACACAGTGGAGGACCTGCATTAAGACCCTGGAGAGTGAACTGTTATGTGAGCCCATTGCAACCAGTAATGAGGTCTGAACAATATGCAAGAAGAATTTAAGTGCTTTGAAGTTATGGTAGATCCAAGTCCTGATTCTTTCTGGGACATTACCAGGACACATAGTCTAAACATTCCTATCCTGTATAGTAACAGTTCCACTGCTACAGTAGGCCTAAAAACTTTTAAGCTATGTGGACTATAGTCCCTTCTGGAGCACTTTCGGCATTAGGGGTCCTGAAACTTAAGCTTCATTAGTTTCATAGTTGATCTCCTCTTGGTATTACAAACTTACAGAGCATGGGTTTTCTTCATAAGCTTCATAGTTGACTACCTCTTGGTATTACAAACTTACAGAGCATGGGTTTTCTTCACTAGTTCCATAATCAATCAACTCATGGTATTACAAACTTACAGAGCATGGGTTTTCTTCATTAGCTTCATTGTCAATCCACTCTTGGTATTGCAAACTTACAGAGTATGGGTTTTCTTCATTATTTTCATTGTTGATCCACTCATGTTATTTTGAAAAATGGGTTTCCGGAACACTTTTAACATCAGCTAAGCTTATCTATTACCGATGTTAGAAATAAAGGGGAACAAGTTTCAAAATGACCAACCGCTCAGTATGATGGCA